TCCTCTTCCTGCAACTTTTACCCGCCCATCCCGTACACAGGCATCTAGTCATCCTTATCAGGTTTCTGTTCCTAGATGTCGTACCTCTCTACTCCAATCTTCTCCCCCCCCCACCGAACTGCCAAACTGTGAAACACCCTCGCCCTTGTTGTTTTCCCCCCAACTTACAATCTCACACTTTTTAAAAGCAAAATCAATAAATTGGATCTTACGTGAATGTTCCCATACTCTCCTCTTTACAGTATGCTATTTGTCCATGGGGATTTCCCCGTTTACTGTAATTCACATTGTATAATAAAAAAGCAACATCTGTTGCCGTCGGATTTTTCAAAATTAAGTTTTCCCGTGTGCGTCACCTATAAAACTAAATAACACGACCGTTGCAGTAGATGGACCAAGGAGTCTGAAGTGGCCCAATTTTATATAATGTTCAAATGGATATTTGAAAAGGAGGACACCAGATTCTTTAAAAAGATGGTTACGCGGAAGCTACATCGTGACGTATACACAGTTAAAAACCGCACTTTACGCGTTGTCCTCATGCGGTGTTTTGAAATGCATGAATCAGTCGAAATCGAACCAGCATGCCGTACTTGTTATTGCAGCATTGAGTTTTGCACTCGATGATCTTACTTGAATTACATTCCGTTTTCACGGTAACTTGTACAATTCCGTCCGACACTCGGCAGTTCTAATGGGCTGTTTGTACACCTTTTGGTTGCAGACAACTGAGGCTACTCCGGAAGTGGCTGATCCACACAGTGCCGAAGCGATTCGGGCTGCTCGAGTCGCCCAACTGGAGGCAGCATCTCGGGCCGAGGAGGAACCGTATGACCCCGGGTCTTATTCGCCTCCGCGTGTCGAACCGTCTGATTTGGAGCTGGATGCTGTGGTCTACGAACCGGCAGACGATGTGGCAAAGATAGAATACCAGGTAGGCCATTCATTTTCTCATTATTTTTTTCCCTAGGAATTCAGTTCGTATGTTTGAATTAGTTTTGGGAGAGAATGACTAAGGTTTTCATGAATGAATCACTTTTTAGTAGTTGTAATATCCTCCCAACCTTATGCAAGTCGCGAATTCGTCCTTTATTTGATTCGAATGAAATAACTCAATCGAATTTCTTTTTTCGTTGTTTCCAAAACACCAAGCAACCTAGAAATTTTTTGTAAACTCGAATCCACAATAAGTTTGATTTCATGTTTTCTGTGTATTACAATCTAGTAAAAATGTTCACGGGTGAATATACAAGCCAATTATAAATTTACTTGGGAAATCATGAACCTGCGAGAAAAGTACTCGACGCAATAACCCGTAGACAATTTCTTCCTCATTATACCTATAAACTCAGTTTCACTTCGTGACACCTTTTAAGTAGTGGTAATCGAAAATTGTAGATCATTTTTCCGTCCTCGCCGAGTTTGAAAGTTCCACTCACACTATCATCGACCTTCCATCCCATATGTGGTTTAGCAACCGTCAACTGTTCCTGGATCCTCATCCTGAGTATAAAGTGTGCAGTTTTTTTTTATTTTTTTCAATTACACACTTTAGTGTGGGGGAGTAAACCTCGTAGTCACGACGACCTGCTGTTCAGTGATGGAACCCGGTAACCTAAGCCTCGGGGCTTGAAGTNCAAAGCTGCCTACCACCAAGGTTGGGTGGTGGTGGCAGGGCTCGAATCTCGGACCAAAGGGTCGAAAGCACAACGGTGATAGCGACTAAACCACCACCATATAAAGCAAATAGAACCAAGTAGGTGAGATGAGATGAAACTTTGTCTGTGATGACCCAAAGACCATTGGACAGTTGTTTCGTCCTTGCGGGAGCTCATCAGCAGTGCACGCCGCAAGCTTTCGCACGCATTTTTCACGATTCACGGAATGCCATCTACCTGCTGTGTCACACAGGTGCCCGGATAAGGCTTGTTTGAGTCTACTGAATCCACTCAACCAACAATTTATTCAGCGTACCAATATTACTCTCTCTCGTTTCTGTCAAAACTATTCTGCCAATGAGAAACATCTACTTGCTCGTAACTTAATAGTCAGAATGATTGTTAACCTTTGATAGACGAAAAATACCCAAGCCAAGAAGTATATTTGTAACTACTGCATGCACTAAATATATGCATGTCCGCTTGAGTAAATATTACACAGTTACGCCGCCGTGGTTATTGATAAGTACAGTAAAAATTGGGTTTCGTTTCGAACGGGTTGTAGAGTAGTAGGATTTAAATCTTCGCTTCCGAGCGTGCGTAAAACGTTCGCGTAATTCGGTTACCTCGTCCCGATAATCTGCTTTTTTAATGATCATGTTGGTGGTTATGGGTCGATTGAGTAGCGGGACCAGCTTTTCACCCGGACTGCAAACGTTTCTCCTCCGACTGAAGTGATCGTTTCTCTACGGCTGAGGTCAAACAACAGTGGTACAATTGTCATGCTCTAATGTACTCGGGCTCAAACGTGAAGCAGAGTGCCCCCCGTGAACAAATGCTCGAGCCGAGTCTCAACGTGGGCTAGAACCGTAGACGAATGGGAGGTTCTCCGTGGAGAGGGTTAACGGACAGTCTGCAAGAATGGGAAAATTACAAATACCAAGAACCAAAAGGTTCAGTGAAACAGGAACGCGACTCATACTGAAACTGTCTGACAAGTTGGCAAGGGCTTCATAAAGCTCAGCAAGCAACGGAGCACCAAGGTAAACATCTAATGATTGGTAAAAAGTTTTAAATCATGAGATCTCTCAAGTTAGCCGATGCGGGTTCATGGACAATCGCTGTTGGTTGTCTACCGGTCGGAGAATTTCCCCATCCGTTTGTGCTCGAATCCAGACGGAGACAAACATAATACCTCTGATGGGTCTCAATGAACACCAGATAAATATTCTCAGGTTCAGAGTGTTTTTGATCGAGTCATAACTCTGGAGGCTGGTGCGCCAGGTGTGAGGCCCGCAACAAGCTCGCAAAGATCGGTTGCGTTGTATTGTGTATGGACAACGTGAAAGTGGTGATCTAGTTTGCTTGCGTTCTACCTATAACGTCCCGGGTTCCCATTCTCAGTTGAATCAATGGATTCATGTCGTTGATGAGAGACAGCGTAACGGAAATAACTCTGCAGTGATTGCTAGCTTCTCGGTGCACGTTTCCTGTGCTCTGCATACGACAAAAGAGTGACGAGTGTTCATCGTTGGCCATCACAAAACACGCAACCTTAGTTTTAAGTGACAACTTAAAAATGAAATTCTCCCTTCGATGAAAACACTGCACACTACTACTACTAGTTGTGAGTTTGGAAGTTCCAGGCTCTTGATCGCTTTGCTTAGTTATGTAAACAAGCTTCCGTGTCTTACGGGAACGTTAACATCTGTTTTCTGATTCATATTGAGCTTATGACTGTCGTCTGTTGTTCTTTTCCATACAACTTCTGATATTTGGCTTTCTCGAAGTTCACTTACCGTCAGTTCTCGACTTAGGTAAACATTATTTTCAAGTCAAGTTACGTATTGCTTTATTCGTCCGAACGGTTGAATTTCCAGGTCATTCAATGACAGTTTCTCACTTGACTCCGACTGCTTTCCGATTTCAGCGCAGAGAAGTCCTACGTACCGGGGCAATGCGAGCATCTGAGGAAGAAGAATTGATGCGTCGTGCCCGCGAGGGCATGGAAGACGGTGAGGACGCACAATTCTCAGTCATGGTACGTTTCAATGATCAAAAGATGTTATCTTCTACTCGTAACGTGCGCATGTATATCCAAACTTGTTTCGACCCGAGCCATGCACCAAGCAACTCAGCATAACATAACAAATAGGGAAATGTACGACTTGCTCTTGAGTGCGACACAGCTAGGTTTTTCAAGCCAAAGAAAAGGGTGCATTTCCGCTGTTTTGCTGGC